ATGGTGATAGGTATCGTTAAAGTGTTTATTGGGATATCTTTAAAACCTATGAAGGGCACGCGGCGTGGGGCAATAAGTCTGTCAAAACAGCAAATGCGTAAGGCGGTCCCAATCGAGACCGAAAATAAACACTGGACTCACAGAGTAAACTAACATTGATCACATAATTCTAACACATAAAAAAAGGGCCTAATAGCCAAACTCGAGATTTGTAAACATTAGACAACAGAATAATCGCGCTTGTGATTTGTTTAACTAGTGAATAAATGCAATGCTTTGGAATTTGATAAAGAAAGACGGAACTCTACCACAAAACGTGCTTGGGACAAAAATTATTAAAAACAACTGACACACTTTACCAAGGGCAAGAACTATCTGACCAGGACACGGACAATGACAATAACGAACAAGACAAAGACCTCGACTAGGAAACTACACCTCTGCAGCGAAATAACAACTCCCCAACGCCAAATAGTAATCCCAAATGTTTGGAGTAATACTAATCGACTGGTCTAGGGGGATTCCGCGTCGTACTTAGTTTTAAGTCGGCGTAATTGTCCCCCAAAAACCAACACCCTCCCGTCCCTCCTCCATACCCCACTGAGCGTATAGCATAGGCTCGGCGAAACCGGGAAAGGCTATTAAAACTATTCGCCTCTCGCTCTCGAGCCCCAAATAGGGGACAGTACGGAACGCAATGGACATTCGCACCCAGCAAACACGGGTGAAGCCGTGCAGTTGCTGGGGAAGAACAAAAATCGGCGTAAGTAAACATAAGCCTGTACGGGGTTCGAGAGTCAAGAGGAAATGGGGCTGGTTATACGTCTTTTATACTCATACTCATACTCATATTTGTTTGACGCGGTTTGGAAAAACTATTATTTTGTGGCGGTAAAGATTTAGAAGTTTGCGGAGTTCTTTTAGGCGGAGAGGGAGCGCTGAAGGCAACTGCTTCATAGGCGGTACATTGTTTGGTAAGGAACTCCTCTAGTTCCTCAAAACTAGGGATTGTATCGACACTATCCCCTTGCTCCAGCTCAAAATGTGTGGATGTGGCGGTATCTAAGCGGCTTAACAACATTTGAAATAAGATAAAGTCCCATTTCGCGGTTGGAAATTTTAAATTTTTTAACGCGGTAATGTTTTCTGTAAATGTACTAATAAGTTGGCGGATCGTTTCGGGAGATGAACAATTTTCAGGAATTTTATTTGCGCTTTCAATGGCTCGCCAGTGTGCGGTGGCAAGAATCCGCCTGTTTTCGTATCGTTTTAACAAGGCAGCATAGGCAATCTTGTAGTTGGCCCCAGTTAACGGATAACCCACTAACGACTCACGAAGGTAGTTAAATTTTTCAACATTACTTAACGAGGCGTTGTCATGAACCATTGCTATAAAAATATCAATAAATGTTTTCCATTCCCGAATTTCGCCCGAAAATTTTGGTAACTCTATGCGCGGAAGCCTTATATGGCTTGATATATTCGGAGTTACATTTGTGTTGGTTTGAGAAGCAAAAGAATCATTAGCGGAGGTGTCCGGTTCGTAATTTGAAAAGACACCCTGTATATAGTAGTACATTTCCTCGAATTCGTTGCAAATTTTATGATGTGATTCTAAGTCTGAACCCGCAGTATTGGCCAAATGAGCGAGAATAATACTATGTTGCTTAAAAAATGTTTGATACAAGGTTTTTACTTTAAAACCACGACGTGTAACGTCACTTTCTTCAGCGGATTCGGCTACTTCAAATGTTGATTTCATTCGAATGACAACACTGTCACGCTGTGCAATGGCGGTATTTGTCATTTTAAATTAGCTTAAAAAATATTTTAATAAAACTAATCTAAGCGATAGCGCAGTTTATTCCCCCCCAAAAAAAAACGAGAAAAATAAACAATATTTTATTACGCGGTATTTATTTTTATAGTTAGTATATTTTAAGTAATATTTAAAATATCCGAAAGCGATTAAATTTATATTAAATATAAATTTTAACAAAATGCGGGTAAAAAACGAATGTAAACAACTAATGCGGTGCGATGTCAGCAATTAATGCGGTGATATTTAAATATTTAGCGATTGCAGCCAGGTGCGCTCTGCGAATGAACGAAAATTACTGGCGTAAAGCGGTCAAAAGAAATTTTGGAAAAATTTATGATTTTCCGTAGACTTCCTAGTAAGAATGTGTAACGCAAATTGTGGAGTCCAAGCCTTGTCACAATTATTAAATAAGTAATTTCTATTTAATAAATACCCACAACCTTAAATAATAAAATTATTAACTTAAATCAAATTATCAAGGTATTGCAATTTAAATCAGCTGTGAGTGTAAAATAAATTTCAAGGTCAAGGGCCGAACGAATGTCTCGTACTACGAAATTATGAATGAACAAAATGGCGCTTATTGCCGGAACCCAGGCGAATAATTTAAAAAGATTTTTTGGTCAACAAACACCCCATCGGCTCAAAAAAAATGCTCGAAGGACCAAAATGGTAGGCAGTGGACTGTATGAATGTGAGAAATAGGGGATGGTGGTGTTAGTTGACTGAATTATGTGACTAGATAAAACGTGGGCAGTAAGAATACTAATAAAGTCCTACCTTGTTGCTGGTGCTGATGACGACACTCAGGGCCCTGGTCTGGTTTCTGGCAATTAGGCTGTTAGCGTTGGTTTCAAGCGGTTGAGATGCACAAGCGGTATAAAGCGGGTATAATGTCGCGTGGTAGATCACTGTTTTTCGCGGGGATGCTTGCGGTTCGAACTCTTATTTCTTAAATACACTTACGCCCTCACTTACGCGGTCAAATAGGTAATTAAAAATAGTTGCGGTAAACATGCGCGTTGGGGGGGCAATAAGCTGGATATAATATTAAAATAAATATAATAAAAATTAAACAAATATTAAATATTTCGCGAAGACGAAACAGATTTAGTTGGACCTTTAAAAGTAGATCATGATAATAATCAATAAATACTAACGTTACAATGCGATTTAAGCAAATTTGTGGAATGTTATCCTATAATAAATAAAGAAGCAACAACAGTTGCTAAAGCTTTTGTAGAAAATTGTATTTTAAGATATGGAATTCCTGAAGCGGTTCTTACTGACCAAGGTACTGAATTTTTAGCATCTATTTTTCAAGAAACGTGTAGTTTACTTAAAGTTAAGTCTTTAAAATCTACGGCATACCACCACGAAACGCTGGGTGCTTTAGAAAATTCACATAAAAATTTAGGGTCCTTTTTGCGAATTCAGACATTAAACCACCAGAGTTCTTGGATACCATATTGGTGTTTTGCTTATAATAACACTGTTCATACAGAAACCAAGTATACTCCTTTTGAATTAGTTTTTGGGAAAATCGGTAGGTTACCATCTAATTTAAGTATGAAAATTGATCCACTATATAGTTTTGATAACTACCCTTTAGAATTAAAATATAGACTGCAAAAAGCAAATAGCGATGCTAGGAATAATCTTATTAAATTCAAAGAAAATAGACATTCCTACTTTAATGTAAAAAATAATTGTAAAAATGTTAGTTATAAGAAAGGTGAAAAAATATTGTTAAAAAATTGTGCAGTGAACAATAAACAAGAAGTGCTATATAAGGGACCATACTTAGTGGAAAGTGATCAAGAAACGAATATAGTTATTAAGGTAGATAATAAGTCAGTGATAGTTCATAAGAATAGAATATAGAAATTTTATGAATTAGATATAGGTTTCAATTGTGATATATAGTCTATAAGTAACTTTTGTATGATAATCATCAAAACCCAATAAAAATAGTAAAACGTAAGAAACTACTTATTTACTCAAAGTGACCCTACATTACAGCAGAAATAGAATAGAATACCCTATTTTGTTTTACGAAAAAAAATATTTATTTTTTCAATTCTGGCCAGCTTTGACATTTTGAGACGACCTTTTATATTTAGTCATGTATCCCTGTTTTTCTATTACTTGAGCCAATCTATTTGGGATGGACTGTATATGGATTATTTCTTAAATATCCCAAAAAAGCAGCATCCTGTTCAGGGGTGGACTTTTTGGTTTAGTAAATCTTCCTTTTCCCAGCGTTGCTTAATTTTTAATACATATTTTTTATTTCTATTATACAACTGCGCCACAGCACGAATTGACCATTCTTCTTCGATTGTTGATACTATTTAAACCTTTTAAACTTGAGATAACTGACGAGGCATTTTTATTTTCTACTGTCAGTTATAGTGTCAGTGGAAAGCCAGTTTTACGCAATAATGTTGACAGTTTTCTCTCATTCTAATTCTTGTAAGCCTTTTTAATGAATACAACTGTACCTTATACCTTATGATGGCACCAATATCTTTGTAAATTTTGTTGGTTATGGGTATCCACCAAAACACGCAAGACAAAAAATTTACATTTCATTTAAAAAAAATGTGAACCAAACCTTATTTATTTGATGTTTGAAGTGCGACGTTGTCACACATTTTAGACCTAACGTGCTTTTAAATTTTAGCTCGAACGAGTTTAGACCTTATGAGTTTAGACCTCACGTATTGCTCCCCCTTTGTCGACGTTTTACCGCTCGTTTTGCGGACGACGCGTCGGCACGATGAAAAAATGCGATAATAAAAAGCAAAGGTATAATTTAATATTTATTATTTACATTTTAATTGTTAAATATATGTTAAATATGGATACAATATTATATTTTGTTTATATTCAAACGATTATTAATAAAATTTTTAAATTTTATAAATTATCTTAAACTTGAAAAAAATATGTTTGTTTAAAAACCTCATTCGACTAGTATCACTTTAACCTTTTAACATATTTAGTTTTAAGAATGTAACATCACACATTAAAAACAAAGCATTGATTTAATTAGAACTAAAATTATAATAATACGTATAATAGAAATTAAATATTTAAAATTAGCTATACATATTATTCAATTGTTGAGTGCATCTTATAAACGTGGCTCGTCTCGGAAGTTCTTTTAACTTACCAGCACCAGTATAAGTACAAGCACTTCTAAGTCCTCCAAGTATATCTAATACTGTACATTCCACATTTCCTTTGTATGGTACTTCAACTGTCTTTCCTTCAGATGACCGGTATTCTGCAATACCACCTGAAATATTCAATATTTAATTACACTGCTAAAGATATATTCAAAAAACACTAAACAATTTCGAAAATTGGTACCGATCTTAAAATTCCTCAATTTGTTCAGGTAGAATAAAACATTAACATTTATTTTTAAATTAACCTAAAATTTACTGACATATTAACTATGCGTGTAGCTTTTCAGGTTTCAGCAGTATTTTGGATTGTAGGACTTATGTTATTGTTAGAATAGCAATATAAGTTGTTAGAAAACACAGTTTGTTTATGCCAGTAGCCAATTTTTATGATGCTCTTAGTAAAATTTAGCCTTTTTTATTATAATTATAATTAAATATTCTGTCAATTTACCACATAAAAGCGTTTATAAAACCGTCTTTATGGCTCTATATATTGTTGTAAGATCGTCTATGTAACAACAACAATATTAAATGTAAAATCAATAATAATAAAACAACTTTATTGAAGATATATGTTGAAAGTAATTAGTGGAAATTTATTGGAAAATTTTTATCCAGAAAATTTAGACTCTTTGTTGTCACCGATTTAAAAGTGAAAGAATAAATTGTAGTTTTTTGTTTTATGTGATTTTCTTGGATGCACAATTTAAATGATCTCCCGCCCCATTAACATATTTTGACATTCGACACAATTTGACAAAACCCTTCAAAAAGGCCCCGCTGATTTATACAAAAGTAAAAAAACAATGGCAAGTTTACGTGTATTTTTAATGGCAAATCTTTCGAGGCTAAGGGAAAGTACTTAATATTAATATTAAGAACTGAAACTTAAAGCGTGTTATTATTTTGATTTCTATAACAAAATTTTGAAGAGGAAAAAAAATGTTTAAAGATATAAAAGCACCCTAATATAATATATTATATGTAATAATGTACGTATACGAGTATGTATGTGTGTGAGTGTGTTGTTTACATGTTTTTGTTACCGTTATATTTCTGTATATAATATATGTATGTTGTTCTTCCTACTCTTAAAGACCCTTAAAGACGGATGTACGTTTGGTCCCAACATAACAGGTACATTTGCGGAGCTCACTCCACATCTAACTCGCAGCACAGCAGCAACAGCAGCCCAGCAGATAAGACCTGAAGATATTGTTCCGAAACGCGAAAACCTCAAAACCAACATGTATACATATATATATATATATATATATTTGTTAGCGGTACTTCCCCTGTTTCTGTATTTTCCTGATATGCTGAGTCAGGACAGACGAGTGGCAAGTTGGACGAGCGCGATGCTTTTCCAGCCAGTAGAGTTTGGTTCTGGGCAGCGAGATATTAAAATTAAAGTTGTTACGCAACTATGCACAATAAATAGTCAAATCGTCGTTATTTAAGGATCATTTAGGGATAAAGCACCCTCTTTTTGTTATTATAAGAAGTGGAAATAACCTATTGTCCAGTGCTATTTATTTGTGTTTAAAGTGACTTTTCAAAAAAAAACTATAAAATGGCCGAAGAAGGTGAAATTGTGAGCGACATTGAGAACGGTGACTAAGAAGAGTTTGAAGCTTTACCACCCAGTGCCAAACGTCCCAAGGCTCCAGCTTAGTGGCAGCTCAACAACAACAAATTGCTCAATTAGCAAATCACACAAAGAACGTGTCGTCACCATCGCAGCCAACGCCTAGTGATTCAGGAATAGACACTTGGAGTGCGCAAGTCCGTTCCTTTGAGATCACGAGCCATGACCCTGACAAAAGTACATACCCAATCAACGAATGTCTTGAAGATTGTTCAAAATTAAAAATATAACTCAACGTCAGCGAAATGTTGATGATAAGCAAAGCTGGGAATGCATTGCGTCATCGAGGATATCGTTATTATCGTGACTGGAGACCCCTTGCTAGAACATTTTATTTCTGTGGCATTTCCCGATCGTGAAACACCTGGAACACGGGCACACATTGCTGCAAATCTTAATAGTAGAGGTTGTGATTCTTTGTCTGATTATGGGAATCAAAAATTAAGATCAATAAATCGTTTTTATAGTCAGTTGCCATGGAATATAATTCTAAGCATGGTAGAATTTGGTTTAGAACATATTGAAGCCCGTTCTGCAATCCGAGTGCAAAAACCAGCGTCTGAACGAGAATTATTGGTCTTACTCAGCGAGATTGATGCCCGCCGTGCAAGATTAAGTAAAAAGAGTACCGAAACCCGAGAAATTGAACGCAAGTCAAAAGAAAGACCCGATCCGAAGGTCGCGTCGACTTCAAAATATTTTAAATGCGGCCGGCTTGGACACCATCAGGCTAAGTGCAGATTGGCCCAGAAAGATGAAAAAGCCAGCGAATCAACCTCTCATAGTACGTCAACCCCTAACAAAGTTTTTACGTGTGATTTTTGTAAAAGAATTGGAGCCACTGATATTAATTGTTGGCTTAAGCATGGTAAGCCTTAAAAAGCTTTTGTCATAAAAAAATTACGTCATTTGGATTCAACACCCATAGCTACCTTATTGTGCAGTAATCAGGCGTATACGTACATTATTGATAGTGGTGCCGACATGTCGATCATTAAGCAATCGGTTATAAAAACATTGTGTGGGACGATCAAACAAGAAGGAAATGTACGTGCTTTTTCGGGAATTAGGACCCAATTTGTTTATAGTGTGGGTGTATGCGATTTAATTATTATTTTACCAGCTATTACTTTAGAAATAAGTTTCGCAGTTGTTCCTGATAACGTAATACCGTGCAATATTGATGTTATTGTAGGTTGGGATGTAATTAGTTGACCTTGCTTGCGTGTCAAAAAAGCCAAACATGGACTTGAGCTACATTACAATCTACTCAACATACCAAAAGTGTTTGTTTTTAAAAGTGCTAACGATTTTAAAATAAACCAAAGTAATTTAGATGATAGTTTAAAATTAAAATTAGAACATTTATTAATTTCTTACAAAAATAAAACACCTGATCATTTAACAGCAAGTAAAGTTACTATTATATTAAAAGACACTACAACAGTGGCGTTCCGACCTAGGCGATTAGCGTACCAAGAAAGGATTGAAGTAAAAAAAATTGTTGATGAACTTTTAAGTAATGGAGTTATCCAAAAAAGTAATTTAGAATATGCCAGTCCTATTATGCTTGTTAAGAAAAAGAACAATGAACTTAGACTATGTGCAGATTACCGAAGTGTTAATAAAAAAGTCGTTAAAGAAATTTACCCCTTACCTGTTAATTCCCTATGCCATGCTAAATACTTTACTACACTGGACATGAAGTCAGGATTCTACCAAATGGAAATTGAGGAAAGTGTTGAATTAGGGTGGAAAAACTGTTAATAAGGCGAACGAAATAAAACTCTACGGTTCGGTTTAGCATCGTCAGGAAAAACTGACTAACTTGTTTATTAACAAGTTGTTATTAACAACAGGCATTACAAACATTGCCAATAGATGGCAGGATAAATATAACCTATATTAATATTTTAGATACTAAATATCAACTCCCACTTATCTAAACAATATTAATCTACACAACTTAAACCTAATTCAATAGTAAACTTGTTATGCTTTACAGAACAGAGTGCTTTTGTCATCCGCCAACATTTCATCCGTAGGCATAAATTTTAAATCTATAAACTTATTAGCAATAACCTCTCGGACAAAGTGATAGCGTACATCAATATGTTTAGAACGCTTGTGACATATAGGGTTTAGAGCTAGTTTTTGGGCACTTTGATTGTCATTATATATAGTTATACATATAATGATATCAAAAATCTCAGACAATAAATTTATAAAATATATAGCCTCTTTAGAAGCTTCAGTGATGGCCATGTACTCGGCTTCAGTACTACTTAATGCCACCGTTTTTTGCTTATTACACTCCCAAGAAACAGCTCCACCTGACATCTTGAATACAAAACCAGTATATGATTTTCTGTCTATTTCATTACTAGCAAAATCTGCATCAACAAAACCAATTAAATCATTACTTTTATTTTTTTTGATACTTTAAATAAAAACTTTTAGTCCCTATTAAATATCTTAGGATTCTTTTAGCACATTTCCAATGTTGCTCCCTATAACAATTATTAAATTGACTCAAAAAATTAACTGCAAAAATAATGTAAGGTCTTGTTAATAGAGATATATACATGAGACAACCTAAAAGTTGTTGATAAGGTAATTCTTTTATACAAATATTAGAATCTGACTTATCAAAACAAAAATTATTTTCCATAGGTGTACTTACAGGCTTACAATCACCCATGTTAAACCTTTCTAGAACCTGATTGATATACTGTTCTTGGTCCAACAGAATTTCACTTTTATTTTCATTCATCCTAACTCTCATGCCTAAACACTGTTTAATCTTGCCTAAATCTTTAATCTTAAATTTTTTAGATAAATTTTCTTTTACAAAATTTATTTCTTGCATAGAGTTAGAAAATATGAAAAAATCATCCACGTAAAGTGCGATAAAGGTAATTAAACTATCTGCACGCTTAATAAACAAACATGGCTCATAATCACATTTTTTAAATTTTAAGCTCATTAGAACAATCTCAACTTCTTTATACCATACTCGTGCAGATTGTTTTAAACCATAGATAGCTCTTTTTAGTTTTAATACACTTGTTTGATTACTAGGTATTTTACTGCCAAAACCTTCTGGCACTTCCATGAATACCTCCTCCTCCAGCTTGCCATTCAAAAAAGCAGTTACAACATCTAAATGAACAATTTCTAAATTAAGTTGTACAGATAATGCTAATAATAACCTTAGTGTTGAATGTCTAACTACTGGGGAAAAAGTTTCATCGTAGTCAATACCTTGTCGTTGGCTGAAACCTTTAGCGACTAACCTAGCCCTATAAGTAATGCTATTGTCACTATTTAACTTAGTTTTAAATACCCACTTACACTTTACGGGCGTATGACCCTCCGGAAGGTCAACAACATCCCACGCTTGATTTTCACTAAAACTGTTCATTTCACTAGACATTGCACTTAACCACTGATTGCGAT